ATCATGGTTGTAATGACGACGTGGACGTTGTTGATGATGGCGGCGACGATAGCGACGACGACGATGATGACGATGCCGTTGCCGACGATGATGATGTTGATGATGATGATGATGATGCTGATGCCGATGCTGCTGCTGCTGCTGATGATGATGATGATGACGATGATACTGATGATGATGCTGATGATGATGATCATGATAATGATGATGGTGATGCTGCTGATGATGATGATGCTGCTGCTGATGATGATGATGATGATGACGATGTCGCTGATTATGATGATTATGGTGGTGGTGATGATTGTTGACGACGAGGATGATGCTGCTATTGCTCATGATGCTGATCATGCTGGTGATGGTGATTACGATGATGGCGATGGTGATCACGAGGGTGACGACGATGATGCCAGGCAGCTTTGCGCGGAGCAGGTACGTCGTCTGACATGCCCGCGCAATGATCCACGGCACGTGCGCGGCCGCAGGCCGCAGGCCGCACGGGCCCGCGGGCCCCCCGGGCGAGGAGGAGCGCGCCACGGCCACAAGGGGGCCGCCAGCCCGACAGGCAGGCTGCGCAGACGTGGCCCCTGAGGAGGGGCCATGGCCACACAGCCCACATCATCGAGAATACGATAGCCCTTACTATGGGTCTCTTAATAAGCGTGGGGGGTACCACCCCGACGGGGGTCAGCCTCGCCTCGTCGTCCCGCCGCGACGGGTTGTCGGAGCGCCTTCGGCGCGCGGTGGCTGCCCGCGACGGGGGTCGATGTGGGGCTGTCGGCCGGGGTGACGCCCCCTCGACGCTTATGAAGAAACTCGGAGTAACCCTAATAACACAGTGAAGACGTGGCCTCACTGAGGTCCCCGTCTTCGCATCAGGGATCGTAGATCTGGGCGGCTTGGCCTGATACATCCGCAGAAACAAATGAAGAAGTCCCGGTCCCTCAGGTGTTTGGCCCTCCTAACTTAGGTCCCCTCACAAAGGCTTAGGGGCCCTTTCTTGGTCAGTCACCACAGGCCTTGCGGCGGAGAGAGCCGCCAGCCGCCAGACCCGAGAGACGCGCCGCCCACGGCCAACATGGGGCTGCCGGGCGACAAAATCTCTCGAGCGGCCCAGAGGAGAAGGAGGAGGAGGAGGAGTATGAGGAGGAGGAGGAGGAGGAGGAGGAGGAGGAGTATGAGGAGGAGGAGAAGGAGGAGGAGGAGGAGGAGGAGGAGGAGGAGGGAGGAGGAGGAGGAGGAGGAAGAGGAGGAGGGAGGAGAGGAGGAGGAGGAGGGAGGAAGGAGGAGGAGGAGGAGGTGGAGGAGGAAGGAGGAGGAGGAGGAGGAGGGGGGCGAGGAGGAGGAGGAGGGGAGGAGGAGGAGGAGGAGGAGGAGGAGGAGGAGGACGACGAGGAGGAGGAGGAGGAGGAGGAGGAGGAGGAGGACGCCCGGGCCGCGCCCCGGCTGCTGCCGCGAGGGCGCGTCGCCCCTGAGCGCACCGTGCACTCTGCGCGCGCTGGCATCGACCGGTCAGCGCTCGGCTGCACACAGGCCGCTGCCTAGGCCAGGCTGGCACCTGGCCGCGTGTTCGCAATGTTTGACGAACCAACAACACACACCCACACCCATAGGGGGGTCGGAGAGGGCTATGGGTGCGTGTTGTCGGGTGGGGGTCCCCGCTCGAGCGGGAGCGTTCCCCAGGGCCCGACAACCCGCACCCATACCCATAGCCAGTCCTCCTCTCAACGACCCCCCTATGGGTATGGGTGTGTGTTTCTCGTTCGTCAATGTTCGAACATCTCTAGCATTGCGTGCCCATGCCCGCCAGATGTGCGTTCGCAGAGGCAGGCGGAGGGGCAGAGCTCGTCATGGTCAGAACCCTTCCCACCCCGACCGGGGCAGGGTGAGTCAGCCCTCCCAGCGTGCTCCCTCTGGGTGGGGGTGGGTGCTGCGAAATCCGAGGGAGACAGCACCCATCCCCACCTATGGGGGGGCGGGGTGTAGGTCGGCCTGCGGGGCCAATGCTTACCCAGTGTGGGTGGGGATGGTTTTGGCCGTCCAGGAGATCAGGGGCGCCAACAGAGGGGACTGGCCCAGGAGAGGGGAGCATCGATGTCCATTCTGCCTTCTCTCCACCAGTCGGGGCCCGAGTGTAAGCCCGCCCGAGACGGTGGGGTTTCCCCATCGGGGGCCCATGGCCGATTCGTCGTCGATTCCAGTTCACTGTCCTCCCCCCCAAGCCACTCCCCACCTGTCGGCTCCCCCCAACGCCTTCGTATCAAGGGAAAGAGTTTCGGCTGCTGTCAGAGGTGTGGCTGGCCCGAGGTGCTCTCCAGGGCGTCCCAGGTGGTCTCCATGATCAGCATCGCGAGGCCCAGAGGGCCCCGGGGGCTCCGAGATGTCGCGAGAAGCTTGGGCGGGAGCTTGTGCCAGGGTCACCTTTGGCAGCGAGGTGAGGAGGAGTACGAGGAGGAGGAGGAGGAGGAGGAAGAGGGAGGGAGGGAGAAGGGAGGAGAAGGGAGGAAAGGGAAGGGAGGGAGGAGGAGGAGGAAACATATAATAATAATAGGAGGAGGAGGAGGAGGAGGAGGAGGGAGGAGGAGGAGGAGGAGGAGGAGGAGGAGGAGGAGGAGGATGGAGGAGGAGGAGGAGGAGGAGAGGAGGAAGGGGAGGAGGAGGAGGAGGAGGAGGAGGAGGAGGAGGAGGAGAGGAGGAGGAGGAGGAGGAGGAGGAGTTGGTTGCTCGGTCAACTCGCGGGCCCCAGTGCGGGCCGCGAGTTAACCGAGCAACGCCGAGCTGCTGGCGTCGGTTTCCCGCGTTACCGGGGTCGCCAGACCACTCTTTCTGGAAGGCGAGCGGCGTGTCAGATACTCCAGATTTCGTAATAAAGGGAGGGGAGTCTCATTTCGGGGGGGGGGTCTCTTCCAGGCCATCTTGGAGGGCCTGGGGGGGTCTGGGGACGACGTTTTGGAGGGTTCTCCCACGGGGGGGGGGTCTGAAATGGCCTGTCTTGGAGGGTCCAGACCCCCTCCCTTTTATTACGAAATCTGGAGTAACGTCTCCGGCGCAGCGACCAAGATGGAGTCTTCGGAGATGCTCGGCTGCTGGGTGGCCGGGGACGTCATCGACGATGCCATGCTGAGCAGGGCTTTCTACGAGGCGGTTGATGCAGTGAACCCGTGTGTGGCGTTCACGTCCATCAGCGCCCCCGATGCAGTTGGCCAGCGCGGTGGTCTCGCCAGCGCTCCGACCAGGGAGGCGCCAGGGCTGCGACCCTCAAGTTCTCCTCCGCAAGGCATGAGCGTTCAGCAGCGTGTCGTGTCATTCAGAACCAGTGTATCGAGCATTCGGGGGCCCTGGTTAATTACTTATCGCCTGAGTTCAAGTCACCTTTGTATGCGCTGTTAGGTCCGCTCGTGTTTGGTTTTCTCAGCGCTCTATGACTGGTTCCGTTGGTTTGGAAACCTGACGAAAACTCCCTGTCGGGACGAGCAGGCTGTGTGCTTGTTCGAGCCCTTGTCAATTGTTTACAGTTATAATCTTCCCGTCTCGACTTGCGGCCTTCTCGGCCTCTGTGTGTGTGTGCTACGATGGAAGGCTCTGGTTTGGTGAGAAGCTGTGTTAGCAAGCAGTTGAGGAGAGTCGAGCGGTCGTCGTTACCGACGTCGTTTTGCCTCATGCAGCGTGCCGTTCGCGATTCGTTTTCTGATGGTTCAGAGGCGTTGCGATCCCCTGCGCTTCCTTCTCCAGGATCTGCGGGGGAGGGGGAGGAGGAGGACGGACTTTAAAGCACCTTGGCTTCCCTCGAATAGTGTGCGGTGGGGTAGGGGGGAATACGGTCGGGGCCCTGAAGAAGGAACCCTGTTCGTTGGGGAGGGGCTCGGTGTTCCTTGATCGTTCTGCAGTGTGCCTTCTGTTTTCCTGAGGTTTCCCATGGGCAAGCGAAGCTCAACTTATGGGAGGAAGGGGCCTCGCTCCTTATTTGGGGTTCCTTAGGTCAACGCCCCGACTGCAGCTCGCCGTCTGCCCGCCTCCCCAGGTGGTGCAGCACCGCCGGGGCCTCCGACGGCCTGGGCCCAGGGCCTGCTGGACATGCAGGCCGGGGCCCTTTCCCGATCCGTCGGCCCGCCTCGAGGCGCTGGATCCGCCATTCGGTGCCGGCGATTCGCCTCCGGCGTTCCGACGCTCCCTCCTCCTCCTCCTCCTCCTCCTCCTCCTCCTCCTCAGCCCACGTTGGGGCTGGTGTTCTTCTTCTTCTTCTTCTTCTTCTTCTTCCAGGGGCCGTTTGGATCGATCTCCTGCGCACCCCACTGCTGACCCTGCCCCACCTTGCCGTCCCCCCGAGATGCGGCCCGATGCCTGCATAGCGCCGCTGTGTATCCGGACGCAGCCGATCCGATTCGATTGCGACTCCGTGCCGATGCGGGCCGATTCGGATGCGCATTCCGAACCTGTCCGATCTCCCGATCCGATGCCGATTGATCCTGCCCTGATCCGTCGGCCGGGCGAGATCCACGACACATCCTGTCGAGTGGGGGGCTGCTTCACAGCAGGCCTCTTCGCCGCGGCGGCGAGGGGTCGACTTCCCTGACACGCCGGAGGAAGCCAGCGGGAAGCCCGAGGAGGAGGAGGAGGAGGAGGAGGAGGAGGAGGACCAGTGTAAACCCAAGAGTCACCAACGATGTTGGAATAAACCCTCCCCCCAAGCTCCCTCTTCATAGGCCCCTACAACGGTTCATTTCCACAGAGGGGCCTGCCTCGTTGGAAGACAATCGTTTGAAGACCCTGAAGCATGCCAAAACATTATCCCGGCAAAACAACCTAACAGCGATGTGTAGGAGCATATCTGGAAACATTCCCCTTAAGATTCAGATGAGAATCCAGTTGTAGAATTCGGCTGTTCTCGCAGTCGTAGTCGCATTCGCGATGACAGTCGCAGTGGCAACGGCAGTCGCAGTCACAGCCTCAGCCTCAGCCTGCCTCAGCCTCAGCCTCAGCCTGCCTCAGCCTCAGCCTGCCTCAGCCTCAGCCTCAGCCTGCTTCAGCCTCAGTCTCAGTCTGCCTTCAGCCTCGGCCTCAGCCTCAGCCTGCCTCAGCCTCAGCCTGCATCAGCCTCAGCCTCAGCCTCAGCCTGCCTCAGCATCAGCCTGCCTCAGCCTCAGCCTCAGCCTGCCTCATCCTCAGCCTCAGCCTGCTTCAGCCTCAGCCTCAGTCTGCCTTCAGCCTCGGCCTCAGCCTCAGCATGCCTCAGCCTCAGCCTGCCTCAGCCTCAGCATCAGCCTGCCTCAGCATTCAAAATGTGGCCCGGGAATGGAGTTCTGGGAACTCGAAGAACACGAAGTGGCCTACAGTTGGCTCCGGGCATTCAAAATCATGCCCAGGAATGGAGTTCTGGGAACTCGAAGACCACGAAGTGGCCTACATTTGGCTCCGGGCATCCAAAATGTGGCCCGGGAATGGAGTTCTGGGAAATCGAAGAGCACGAAGTGGCCTACAGTTGGCTCCGGGCATCCAAAATGTGGCCCGGGAATGGAGTTCTGGGAACTCGAAGAGCACGAAGTGGCCTACAGTTGGCTCCGGGCATTCAGAATGTGGCCCGGGAATGGAGTTCTGGGACCTCGAAGACCACGAAGTGTGTAACTGTTTGCTTAAAACGACTTCCGCGGATTCTCCCCGGCACCCGTCCGGCATCTGCCCAGACCCCCCTGGGGCGTCATGATGCTCTCTTTTGAGCCTACTAGAAACCTATCAGTCTTTGCTGTTAGGTAATTATTCTCGGTATTCCAACGCCATGGATGAACTTGACTGTTGCGTGTTGACGATCCTGAATCGTGCCGGAACGCCATCCCTGGGACCTCAACTCCGCGAATCATTCTAATTGTTGCGCCCTCAAAATCGCGAATCCTTCCGAAACGTAATTTCTTGTACGTCGATCATGGGAATCCGTGACACCCTTCAAATTTTGTATCCAGAATGTGCGCGGCGCTGAGGCGAGAGCCACATTTTGAAAAGGAACCGCCCTCGATCCGTGAAACGCTTGCAATTTTTTAAAACGAAAGTGCGCGGCGCGAAGGCAAGAGCCACATTTTGAAAACCATCCGCCCTCAATCCGTGAAGGTCTTGCACATTTTCAAAATGAATGTGCGCGGCGCTAACGCGCGAACCACATTTTGTCAAGCACCCGCCCATAATGCGAATTCTTGCACATTCAACAAATGTGCGCGGCGCTAAGGCGAGAGCCACAGTTTGAAAAACCACCCGCCATCAATCTGTGAAACTCTCGTAAATATTCAAAATGGATGTGCGCGGTGCTACGGCGAGAGCCACATTTTGACCCCCCCCCCGCCCTCAATCCGTGAAGCTCGTGTAACATTTTTACACGAATGTGCGCGGCGCTAAGGCGAGAACCACATTTTGAAAACCACCCGCCTTCAATCCGTGAAACTCTTTGCAAATCTTGAAAACGAATGTGCGCGGCGCAAAGGCGAGAGCCACACTTTGAAAGCCACCCACCCTCCATCTATGAAGCTGTTGTCAATTTCCAAGCTTCAGGGTCATAAATGGTGAGGAAGTCTCAGGCGAAACGCCCGGCCCGTCCTCAAAACTTGCCTCGGGGTGCGACAGGGGGGAGTTATTTATAAGGAGAAGAAGTGAGGATGATGATGATGATGATGATGATGAGGAGGAGGAGGAGGAGGAGGAGGAGGAGGAGGAGGGGGGAGAGGGGAGGAGCAGGGAAGAATGAGGCGGAGGTGGAGGAGGGAGGAGGAGGAGGAGGAGGAGGAGCGGGGAGGGGAGGAGGAGGAGGAGTAGGCGGAGGAGGAAGGAGGTGGTGAGGAGGAGAGGAGGAGGAGGAGGAGGAGGAAGGCAGGAGGAGGAGGAGGAGGAGGAGGAGGAGGAGGACGGAGGGGGGGGGGAGGGGAGGGGGAGGGGGAGGGGGAGGGGAGAGGGGGAGGGGAGGGGGAGGGGAGATGGGAGGGGAGGGGGTGGGGGAGGAGGAGGAGGAGGAGGAGGAGGAGGAGGAGGAGGAGAGGAGGAGGAGGAGGAGGAGGAGGAGGAGGATGGAGGAGGAGGAGGAGGAGGAGGAGGAGGAGGAGGAGGAGGTGGAGGAAGAGAGGAGGGGAGGGGAGGAGGAGGAGGAGGAGGAGGAGGAGGAGGAGGAGGAGGAGGAGGAGGAGGAGGGGGAGGGGCGGAGGGGGAGGGGGAGGAGGGGGAGGGGGAGGGAGGGTGAGGAGGAGGGTGAGGAGGATGAGGGGAGCAGGAGGAGGAGGGAGGAATGTGGAGGAGGAGTAGGCGGAGGAGAGGAGGAGGAGTGAGGGGGAGGAGGAGGAGGAGGAGGAGGAAGAGGAGGAGGAGGTGGAGGAGGAGGAGGAGGAGGAGGAGATGGAGGAGGAGGAGGAGGAGCAGGAGGAAGAGGAGGAGGAGGAGGAGGAGGAGCTGGCCCGCCGATTGCTCGGAGCCGGGCGGTGCAGCCGGGCCTCGGTGGTCGCCGAGGCGTTCTCGGGGTGAATAATCCCAGGCCGCCCACTGGGGGCGCGAAGACAGCGACGCTTCGCGCGACGCAGCCGGGGCCAGAGCAGGTGCCCCTCTTCAGGTGGGCTGCGCGAGGGCGCGAGGGCGCGAGGGCGCGAGGGCGCGAAGAGAGGCGCGCGTCGCGCCTCACGCCTCGCGGGGCTCGCGAGGTGTGAAGTTCGGTGGCGTCGACGGATCGGGCCTGGGCGGCGTGCACAATCGAAGGAGAGAGAGAGAGAGAGAGTTCCGCTCGGCTTTCTTGGGTCTCCGCTGGCCTGCAGTGGAAACCCATGCCAAGAAACACCCTGGCTTGCCTCCAGGGTGCCCTGGGTTTCTTGGGTTTTGATGAGGGCTTTGCTGTGGAAAGCGTGACGTGCCCACACCAAGAATCAATGGGCGTCCTGGGCTCTCAGGGTTGGGTTTCTTACGGAAGGTTTCTTGTGGTCAAGCTCCTGCTGTACCCTCCCCTGCCCAGGAGCGCACCAGGGGCGTCGCTGGAGGCGCCGCCAGGGGGGTCGACGCCGGCCCGAGAAATCGCGGGCCTCCGACAGTTTATGCTGGTGCCGCTTCGTTTTCTGCTGTGCAATTTGGGGGAGGGGCGAGGGGTGCGGCCCTCTAAAAAGACTATCGGAAGTGCTGTTCGAGCCAGCCCCCTCCGCCTTCTGAGACGCGTTCTCAGAGGCCTCAGGGAGCTTATCAGGAAGGGAAACCGCTGCTTTCGTTAACAGCTGCAGGGGCCGCAGCACCAGTGCGCGCGGGCATATGCAGGGCTGCCCACAGCGCGAAGGTTCGGTTACCGGCTGGCCCCCTCCCCCCCCCAGATAACCCAGGTTGTCGTCGCCGATTCAAAGAAAATGGTCTCCGCTTCGTTTTTCTGTGTGCAATGGGGGAAGGGCGAGGGGTGCGGCCTTCTAAAAAATCATCGGAAGTTCTATTAGAGCCTCCTCCGCCTTCCGAGACGTATTCTCAGAGGCCTCAGGGAGCTTATCAGGTGGGAAAGCGCTGCTTTCGTTGACGGCTGTAGGGGCCCAGCACCGGTGCGCGCGGGAATATGCAGGGCTGCCCACAGCGCGAAGGTTAGGTTGTCGGCCGCGCCGCCCCCCCCCCTTGATAACCCAGGTTCCGAGGCGGGAGTTTATACATGGCCACCGCCTGGAGGATCAATTTTCGGGGACCTCAGCAGGCGGTGGATATGGATACATTCGGGCCCCCAGGGGCCAAAACATGTCCATACCCACCGCCCGCCGGGGCACCAGGACGTCGGTTCCCAGGCGGTGGATATGGATAAATCCCCGCCTCGCACAGGTTGTCGCCGATGCAAAGAAGATGGTCTACGGGCGGGAGAGCGTCCTTCTTGGAAGGTCGCCCCCTACTCTCCCCTCCCCATCTGGGCGTGCCGCCACGGGCTGGCCAAGTCAGGATCAGGATCAGGGCTAGGCTTAAGTCGAGCATGTCCCCCTACAGGAGGAATGTTCCCAAATAGTCAAACAATAGTATGGGACCGATTGTTTTTTTTTGTTTGTTTGTTTTGTTTTGTTGTATTTGTTTTGTCTATTTTCAAAATTTCCTGCAAGATCCGCCTGTAGGGGGACATGCCCGACCTAAGACTAGGCCGCGGACCAGTGCAGATCAGGAAGGGGGGTGCGTTCTGAGGCCAAGATGCAGCACGAGCTCGACCACCTGCACGACCACCACCACCACCACTCCGACGCCCCTTGGGACCGAAGCCTGGATGAGCATGAGGAGGGGGAGCTGGGATCAGGAGGGATGATGATGATGATTACGATGATGATGATGATGATGATGATGATGATGATGATGATGATGATGATGATGATGATGATGATGATGATGATGATGATGATGCTGATGCTGCTGCTGCTGATGCTGATGCTGATGCTGATGCTGATGCTGATGATGCTGCTGTTGATGATTATGATGATGACGATGCTGCTGCTGCTGATGATGGTGATGGTGATGATGATGCTGCTGCTGATGATGATGGGGATTCTGATGATGCTGATGATGATGATGGTGGTGGTGGTGATGCTGATGCTGATGCTGATGCTGACGATGATGATGCTGATCATGGTGTTGCTGATGATGACGCTGATTCTTATGATGATATAATGCTGCTGATGATTCTGATGATGATGATGTAGTGCTGCTGCTGGTGATGATGAGGTTGACGATTCTTATGCCAATGATGCTGATGCGGATAATGGTGCTGATGATGATTATGATGATGATGATGAGATGATGATGATGATGATGATGATGATGATGATGATGATGATGATGACGATGCTGCTGATACTGATGACGGCGATGATGCTGATAATGATGGTGATGATGGTTGTGGTGATGCTGATGCTGATCAGCATGATGATGCTGATGCTAATGCTAAAGATGCTGATGATGCTGATGCTCATGATGATGATGATGATGATGATGATTATGGTGATGATGCTGCTGATGATGATCATGAGCATGATCATGATCATGATGCTGACGACGACGATGATGATTATGGTGATGCTGGTGATAATGATGATGCTGATGATAATGATGATGATGATGATGATGCTGATGATGTTGATGATGATGATGATGATGATGATGATGAACATGATGATGATGATGATGATGATGATGATGATGACTATGATGATGATGATGATGATGATGATGATGATGATGATGATGTTAATGATGATGATGATGATGATGATGATGATGATGATGATGATGATGATGATGATGATGATGATGATGATGATGGTGGTGGTGGTAGTGGTGATGATGATGATGCTGATGATCTTGTTGATGCTGCTGCTGATGATGATGGTGATGATGATACTGATGTTGATGCTGATGTTGATGTTGATGCTGATGCTGATGCTGCCGCTGATGATGCTGATGATGATTATGAGGAGGATGAGGAGGAGGAGGAGGAGAAGGAGGAAGAGTATGCGGCGGCGGAGGATAATAAGGGCAAGGAGCTGAAAAACACGTCCTCCTCTTGGGCAAGGGCCTGGACTCCAGGCTAGATCGTGCCGTATCGAGACTCAGGGCCCTGGGGGGCCCCGCGGCCCAGGCGACCAGGAATCCCGACAACACGGCCCTCCAGTTTTTTGTAATAGATTTTTTAACAATTCTCAGAGATTATGCTGGACTCCATTTCTTCACGGCTGCCTCGCTGTCTGCTAGACGGTTCAGCCAACGAAAACGTTCTTGGCTCTACTGTTTGACCAACGAATGACGTTCACAATCTCTGGATCAACCATTTTGTAACAACAATGTATCTATATATATATATATATACATATATATATATATATAAATATATATATTTGTTAAAAAAAAAACGTTCTGAAATTCTCAGGGCCCCAGGGGCCCGCGGCCCGAGCGACGGGAACTCCAGAAAGCAGGGGGCCTCCAGATTGTTGCGAAGGCAGAACACAATCAGGACTCTGAGCAGAAGTCTTAAGTCGGGCCCGTCCCTCTACAGGGGGGAAGTTCAAAGATAGTAAAAAGATAGTCTGGGGACGATTTCCTAGCATTTTTGATCATTTTGCGGTATTTCTGGGGTACCACATCCCTTATTCAACGCCCCCCCCCTAGAATACCGGCCCCCCCTACTTCGCGGCACACTAGTACTCTGGCCCCCCCTCCACGGGAGGCGCCTTAATTTTCCGGCCCCCTCTTTGGGAAAGTTGAGCGTTGTAGTTAAGCTGGTGGACATGATGGGCCTGTAGTTACACAGTGGTGACTGCATTGTGATCAGAACTCGGTCGGTTTGCGACGTTGACAACAATTATGATCAATACGATGAACACCATGATCGTGAACGTGGTGCTGTGGCGCAGGCGCCATAAGTAGTACTTTTTCTTTTTCGTACAAGATCCGCCTGTAGGAGGACATGTCCGACCTAAGAGTAGCAGTTCCGAAACTTCCTAGGGCCCTTGGGGCGCGCATCCCAGGCAGAAGTCCGAAAACCCTTGGACTCTCCAGAATTTAAAGGTTCGGAGTTTTTGATGTTTTTTTTCTCTGTGTGTGTGTGTGTGTGTGTGTGTGTGTGCGTGTGTCTGTGTGTGTGTGTGTGTGGAGTGTTTTTTATGTCACCAAAGGGGCCTGCTTCAATTTTAAGATGAAGCAACTGGTGGACACTCCTGAAACTTGCGAATCGGAAAGTCCCAAGGGCCCGGAGCCCCTTGGAAGCAAGCCTCCGCGATGCCACTGACACCCCCCCACGTCTGGGGCCCGAGAAACACTTTCTCTCGAAACGTGGGCCCTTGCGAATTTTGGCCGCTGGGGAGAGGTGGTGGGGGTCTTGGGAGGCTCAAGCTCCTTCGAGACGAGGCATGTGAGTGGTGCTTGCCAGGTCCAGGGGGGCCCCAGGGGGTGGGGGAGGAGGAGGAGGAGGAGGAGGAGGAGGAGGAGGAGGAGGAGGAGGAGGAGGAAGGAGGAGGAGGAGGAGGAGGAGGAGGAGGAGGAGGAGGAGCGAGGACGGTCAGGATGAAGAAGAGGACCAGGAGGAGGAGGAGGAGGAGGAGGAGGAGGAGGAGGAGGAGGTAGGAGGAGGAGTGAGGAGGAGGAGGAGGAGGAGGAGGAGGAGGAGGAAGGAGGAGGATCGTTCAAGCCCCAAGGTGGTATCCCCTCCTGATCGACCGTTCCCCCCCTCCTGCCCTCCCCTCCCCTCAGTCTGTTGTGCCAGTCTGTTCACTAGCATATTTAGTGCTGTGCACTCCCCCGTCCGCGGGCACTTCCGTTCCGTTCCGTTCCTTCTCCCCTTCTCTCTTCCTCCCCTCCTCCCCTCCTTCCCTCCCCCCTCCCGCCTCACCTGCCTCCGTCTCCTGATTCCTCCCCTCCCCTCCCTTCCCTCCGTTCACCACCGTTCCCCCTCTCTTCCCCTCCCCCCTCTCCCCTTCCCCTCACCCCTTCCCTCTCTCCCCCCTCCCCCTCCCCTCTCCCCTCCCCTCTCTCTCCCCTTCCCCTCCCCCCTTTCC